CCACAGGTGCTTCTTGGGTTTTTTAATGTGTTATCAGGTTTTTAGTTTTTGCTTATTCTAGTTTTCAGGTAGCCAAGAAAACTTTTTGGGAGATAGAATTTAATTTTTAAAATGTAATGGAGATAGATTTTTTTGAATTGGCACCATGGAAATTCCGGATGGCAGCCAAAATCTACATCTAAATACTGTTGCTTAATTCAGAACAGATGAGATGCTATCAGTCGAGGAGGCAGCCTTATAATTAGAACCAAAATGTGTGAGGTTCAATAATTATTAACATTTTTAAGTGAGAGAATTAAATATCCATTTAACACAATAAAATTGTTTCTTATCTGAAGGCCCAGCTTGTAGAGACTTCCACCTAGCACAATTTAGGACCAGATACTTGCAAAGTGCAGTGTTTTAAAAATGAGTAGTCTTTGCCAGGAAAGGGTGCTCTTGCATGGTGTACCTATACTGAGAGGTTGTAATGTTACACAGGGTTCACAGGAGGAAAAAAGTTCATTTTATGCCAATCAGCAGCCTCAGATAACTAAAGTGAATCAGGAGAGGAAGAAATGTCATTTCTCTGACAAATGAATTCACTTATCAGGGCAGTGCACTGTGCCCAGTGATGGTGGAGTTACAAAAGTAATTAGGATGTGGGCCTTGCACTAATGGGTTTGATAGGTTGGCAATGAGATTGTGACCATAGAAGTTTAAGGTCACAATAAGAAAATATTATAATGATTTCTTAGCCTGTATGCAGCTGAAATACGTGGCTTTGCTAGGGTCCAGATCATCAACTCCGAGGTCATCCAGTCCGGCTGTACAGCAAGACCCCTAGAGCAGAGGCAGCAAATGTGCAGCCCGAACCAGATTAAAGTACAATTGGGAAATATTCAATAAAATAAATAAAAATACAACAAAACATAGCTGCATTTAAAACTGTCAGTATTGCAGCTGCAGAGGCTACATCCTCATGTGTGGATAGGTGGTCCATTTCTAGCTGAGTTTGACATGATTGCCCTACAGCATTACAAGTAAGCATGCACCTTGCATTTGAAGGCTTCAAGGGATGGCAGATCCACTATGTCTTGAGGCCTTTCCACTTTTAGACAGCTATAATTTTTAGGAAGATTTTTCCCCACCAACTTGACATTTTCCCCTCTGCAATTTATTCCGTGGCTTCTAGAGTTACCCACCAGAGCTAAGCAAAACATCTCCAAGGCAGTCTAGTAGAATAGAAAGAGTGCTGGATTTGGAGTCAAAGGACCTGGGTTCAAATTCTCGGTGTGCCACTTAATACCTATGTAATTTTGAACAAGTTACTTAAACTCTCTAGACCTCATGTTTAAAAAGATGGGGGTTGGACTAGATGACCTCAAAGGTCTAGCTCTAAATCTACAATCCCTCTTCTAGATGACAAACCTGCAGGTAGTTAGCAATCATGTTACCTTCCCCCCCCAAGGCTTCTCTTCAAACTAAACATGACAAATTCCTTTAGCCAATCCTTTTCAATCTTTTTTTTTTTTGTCCATAGGCATTTCTTCATCTAAAATGGGAGTGTCTAACTCTGCTTCACAGAATTGTGAGGAAAACACTTTGTAAACCTTAAATCACATAGAAATGTGAGTTATTGTTATTTTTGCCAGCTTCAACTTGTTCTGAACTTTGGTGGAAAAAGATCAAGAACTGAACCTTTCAAGTTCTGCAGAAAGAAAAAGAAACACTCCCTTAGGAAGTCATGCTCTGAGAAAGTTCACCAGGAGAATGAAATAAGTGGCCGTGTGGCCAATCGACAGGTTAAATACATGCAAGACAGTGCTACCATCACCCTACCCCTAGGTGGGTCTTAGGTGGCCCCCTAACCACAGGGCTTCACAGAATAAGGCCCAAACTAGGCTTCTGTTTAAGAAAATACTTATTTTTAAATGTCAACTATTTTCACCACCATGTTTCAGGCCAAGTCCCTAGAATGTTGGACCCAAACCACATTATGCCTAGGCAGATGTAACTATCTCATGTGGGCCTAGGTGGGCTTCAAGAGCACCAAAAGACTGATGGCATTTTGAAAGTGCAGCAGAGTCTATGCCTTCAGACAAAGCAATAATGGGGGAAGGGAGTTGTCAAATCAAATACAAACAAGATGCCCACAAAGGAAGGGACTCTGAAATGTAACAAACCTCTTGTGTTTAGTTAGGGATTGGGGAAATGTGGAAGTTTTTCTTAAGCCAGTTGATTGCAGTTGATTCAGACCTCTGGAAATCCTTGTGTCCTATATAAGCTACCCTATTTCATTGTAGGTTTTGGTTGTCAGTAATATACCTAAGGTGCCAAAAGAGAAAATCTCTAGAAAAATACCTGAAGAAAAGATGAGGTAGATGGCATTCTCTTTAGTTTTCTTGCTCTCTTCAGGAGAGTAAAGAGTAGGATACGTAGGGTCTTCAAAAAGTCCTTGAGCTATTTTTGGATGTTAATTCTTCATGTTTTAGGTTGGATAAATGCATAGAAATGCTATGACAGAGTCTGGATGGGAACTGTGCTCCCATTGGATGCAAACTTTGGTCTTGCCATTTTCTTTTCATCTAGGAGTCTAAAATAAGAAAATGGTATATACAACTAGTAGTTTCATTGTCCAGAATTTGTAATAAATACCATTTATAGATTGTGTATTAGAACCTCTGCATCTAGGTGATTAAGTTTAAAAGGGCCCGTTGCTTTTATGAAGACCCTAAATTCTCAAAATAGCCAATGTATTGAAGCACTATATGGCATATAATCTGGAAACTTAATCGTACTTGCACTTTGCATACTTGCCGCCTTACTAACCTCATGATTTTTATCGTAAGTTCCACATTATGCAGTTCCATAAAGCTAAGCTGCTAAAGATAAACCAAGCATGAAATCTTTAGTTTGATCTGTACTCATTCCAATATTTCCTTGGACCTAAAAATAGTCTGTGCTTCCTGATAAAACCTCCCACCTCTCCCTGTAAAATTTATCCACTTGCTCCATCCCTGAGAAATACAAGGAAATTATTTTCTTCTTGTACACATCAACTGTGCCCAATTGGAAGATTACAGTATATGTTACTAAATAAGATCTTCATGGTTAGACTTTGTTTCAAAAGTTGAACATGCCAAAAAAAAAAAAAAAAGTCTTGGGAGATGTATGTTGATCCTGGCTTTGGTCCTCACCAACTATTTACAACTGGTAGTGAATCCTATAGGAGGCTACCACTCTACCTTGAGGTGTAAGTGCCTTAGTAGACATAGCCAAGATGTACCTTATGCTTGGAGTCAGCTCCAAAAGCTATATATATGTTCTGATTTACTCCACATTTTTGTCTGATGACCTCTCAGACATTACCAAAAATGACTTGCACGTGAGACATAATGTAAATGATGTCATGGAGGGTGTATATGGCCAGAAAAGGAGGTAGAAGGGCAAAAGTGAAGACTGGACAGCCCAAGTAATACACTGGTATCCATAAAATAATAAAAGAACCAGAGGAAGACCTTCAGCATATTGAGTGGTCCCTTGGTGGAAAATTTATGGAAAGACAAGAACAGAAAATGCACAAAATAATGTTATAATATGCATCAGTGAAACAACTACCCACCCTGATGAGATTGCATATCCCTCAAAGCAGACCTCTCAAAGGGCTCAAGCAGTTTGATTGTTTCCGTCATGATTGGAAAAAGACAATCTATAGACTTTTAAACATTGAAGGAATCATTGTTAAGCATTTAATTCTTCATCACATTGAATACTAAACATGCACAATAATATATGCATGAAAATGTCATTTTTCCCTTGATATTTCCAGTGGAAACTATATTCTTTAATAAAAGGGCAAGTGTCTTGAGATTGTGTTTATATTGGGTTATAGTGTGCAGTCTCCCAGAATACGCCAAGAGAAAAAATGGTTCATGCACAGTGATTATTCTGATAGATCTAAAAGAAAGGCACCAAGATCTTCAACTTCATTGAAGAACTTTCTTCTCAGTTCTGTATAAACTCACCTTGTAAGCTGAAATGCAAAACATAGCTGGTGCTAGAAGCAATGACAGGCTGCAGGTAATGACATACTCCTGTAAATGCCAGCTACCGGAAGGAAAGAGGGGAGGGGAGCCTGATGCTGGCAGATCTCTTGAGCGTGGGAGTTCTCAACTTTGATGGGTTATGCTGATCAGGTGTCTGCCCTAAGTTTGGCATTAAAAGAGTGAGCCCTCAGTAGCAGGAGACCATCAGGTTGCCTAAAGAGAAGCAAACCAGCCCAGGTCAGAAACAGAGCAAGTCAAGGCTCCCATGCCAATCAGTGATGGGATTGGACCCATGAGTAGCTCTACACTTCTAGCCTGGGCAAGATAGAGAGACCCAGTCTTTAAAAAAATAATAATAACAAAAAGAGCCAATATTGGTATTCCCATTCACCTGGTTATTAGGATAACATGCAACAGATACAATGTTAGGTCCCAGTGTCTCCTTGGAAGCATGTTGAAAGTTGCTACTTGGTGAAACAGAAATGTAGTATATGTGTTACACTTTACATGATCCACATATGCCAAAATAGGTGTGTGAGCAGACCTTATTTATGAATTGAATTGCATTAAAGACACTAGAGAAGCTGCTTGTTTAAAGGGCTGCAAGGATAAATCTTTTTGTAAAGCTGAATGGTCACCCCCTGACTTAGAGATTTTAGTATATGTCATTTACTTCAAGGCTCTGTGATTCTGTCAGTGTGATCATTCTCTCCTCCAACAGAGATCACAGTTCTTCTGTGAGTTAGTAGTCTTTGTGAGCTGTTGGGTCATGAATGTAGCAGGCATGCTTATATTGTATTGGTGTAGATAAGTTCTGTGTTGTCCCCATGTGAAAAGCAACTGAAATGGATATTTGAACTAACGTAATGCTTCAGTGAGAATACATTTCTCTTTCTCCCCTCTGTCCCTGTGACATTTATGCCTACTTTCTGATCAAATCTTTTTGCTCTGCTCTTTTTTTTTATTTTTTAGGTGGGCACTTCTTTCATCGGAACTCTTTGTCCCCTCGAAGCCTGGTTTACGAGAGCGAATTCTCCATGATTGAGCCTTCCTTGGACATGTACGATGACAACAAAACCTGAAGAAACCTTGATGTTTGGGGTCACTCTTTTGTTGGTTTCTGATCATTCTTCTTTTGTATTCTTCTGTTGGTGTCTTGTCCTGGCGGAGGAGCTGCTGCATTTCCCACATGGGGGTTGGGTTTTCAGGCTAAGATCCAAAGTTCCCCCAAGATGGGACTACCCTGCAACAATGCACCATCGCACATTGCCCTTCCAAGGTTGGCCAATCTCACACGAGTAGTGAGCTACATCTGGATACAAGAGGCTTAGCCCTGGCTCCCCAGGGTTCATTGTGTACTGAAGATGTCTTTTTTTTTTAATAAGCATGTACTGCTCTGTGTGAGTGGAGTTTGCCTTTCTAATCGTCCTTGTGATCAAGTTCCATTGTGTGCCCAAGTCTACCAGGTGATGTTTTTTGGTTTGTTTTTTTTTTCCAGTTAAGAGGATCATGAGCTGCCTACCTAGATCTCTCTCCATTCTCTCTCTTTCTGTGACAAGCCCTCTTTCTGAAAGGACTGGGGAAAGGGCATGTACCTTTGTCCTTACCACATGACTGAGCAGCTGTGCTCCTGCAAAGTGGCCTGTCCTTAGAGCCATGATGGGTGGTGGCAGTAGGTGCCAGCAATGAAGAATAGAGTCATCCACATGTTCATTTTCCAACTTCCATTTTTGAGCATGAAGTGACTTTTACAGTCACTGGAATGTCACTCCAGCTGTGCCTGCCAGCCCACATTCTAAGGGAGATGGGGCAAACATCCCTGTTCTTTTTTGGTTGGTTCCTAAGTACTCAGATCTCACACAGGATGAGTGATGGTTAGGTGATTCTTTTCACTGTAGAGTTAAACCATACCATTCTCTGGTATGACAACAAATGAATACCACTCCCTGTGGTTTGGTGTAACAACAGTCTCCCTCCTGCCAGTCCTGATAATGAGAATGAAGACAGCAAAAGAGGATGAACAGGGAAGCTTACATATAGACATACAGAAAGGAGGCATCTTGTATTTTGTCCAGCAGGAGAAAAAGGAAATGCTTTTTTAAAGCAAAAATAATAAGGTTAGAGGCAAGAAAGATATGTATGTGGGTATTTGACACATAACTGCCAGCATCCTTTGATGAGTGAATCAACCCAACATATCTATGCACCTTTTGCTATAATTGTTTAATCTGCTTCTCCATTTTAATCAGAGTTACTGTATGGGAAGTTACAAATGCTTTTGTATCATTATGTGAATGAAAATTTGAATCTATATACATCTTGACTTAGTTCTAACAAGGAACCCAAAGAAAGGACTCCTCTGAGATACTTTTATGGAATCTGTAGAGCATAAATTGAAGAGGGGTACTTGCTGTTTTTCCATATGCAACCAGTCATTTTTAGCATGTGTCCTACTTTATATAATGTGTTGAGGCTGTGACTTAAACACAAATGAAACCCTCGGTTTCAACCAAAACGCTTGGTGAAGTGAAGAGCCTTCCCTGACCTAATTCCACAATCTCCTCTCGACAGTTTGAGGCTGGAGCAAGGCAGACTTTTAAGGAATTAACAGCTTCATTCTTTTTACCTTGACTAAGCTAGATGTGGTCTGATTGTTTTTTGTTTGTTTTTTTCCTTTCTTTTTATTGTGGTCCTTATACTGTAGAATATTTTTGTAAACAGAACACAGTTTTGGCAAGAGAAGCTTGATGTTGTGGGTGGGCAATTTCAGAGCAAAGTCAACAACAGTCAAAGTTCAGTTATAGGGAGGGGGTGAGGGAGACCAGCCATCCAGTTTCACTTTTACTGGGTCCTTCCTGGGTGGGAAAGACAGCTATTCATTCAGTTTCTCAGTAATTGTTAGCTATGCAGTACCTAGGGAGCTCTTTCAGGAGAGCTATTTAGATTAACCTCTAATTTCAAACTGAGCCTCAGTTTTGTGAAAATGAGGGCCATCTTTCTGTGCAGACACACTTGTGTGCAGAATACCAAATTCTTCACTGGAGAGATGGAATGGACCTGAAAAAGTCAACAGTGAAGACATGTAACTAAAAGGTGTCATTCCTGAATTCAAGTGATTCCTTGGACTAAAGGAACTCTTGCCCAGGGAAAACTCAGTTACCATTCACACCACTGGACTGGATGCCTCATCCACACTCCCTATGGAACAAATTCCTCTGAGCAGAGCAGAGCTGGGTATGGTTTCCTCTCTAGGAGTTGGATTTGCCCATCTAGGACTCTTCTCTGGTTCTGCAGTGTTACCAGATTGGCTGTTGTATCACCAGCAGAGTGGCTATCAACAGAAAATATGTCCATCTTATTTAAGAATTTCTTTCAAGAAAATTAGTTGTGCTTGGAGAAAGGAAAGGAATCCAAATGAGGGTGGTGGAGGGAAAGCTATTTAAGCAACAAACTAACTTCAGTAATCCCTCATTTTTTATCACATTCTTACTGTCCTTATTCTGGACCCCATTTTCCCAGTGACAGTCAGTATCAGCCTATCCAAGTGTGCCTCATCATCAGATAGTTGACCACCAGGCAAGGATTATTTTTTAGCCTCAGCCATCCACAAAGACCCTCACTATTAATATGTAAAGAGGTTTCAAACTGAATGGGTAGAGAGGGATGGGTTACCCACACTGATGAAATTGCCACTCCCTTAAGAATTGAAGTATTCTGAACTGCAGTGTCCCCTGAGCCAGGGCTAACTGCAAAGCCGCTTCCTCCGATGGCATTCAGTGACTCCAGTACTATGGCCCCATGGGCATAAAATATTGGGATTAAGCCATGCAACAGGTGCTTCTCAGGGGAGCCAGTAAATGAGTTACTGGGTCTCAGTAGCTTCCTGAGGAGGAAGCTACCTTGGAGCCCTTTCTGATGCCCTTTCTCTGCTTCTGTACCACCTGGTACAGCCCCTGGGTACCTTGAACAGTTACAGAGGGATTCTACAGCTGAATCAGGAAATTGGCTAAAGGGATAGACATCCCATGGATAAAGGAAGTATATTTCTGTTTTGCAAATCCCAGGGCTGCCTGCTATATTTATAAGGCTCCCCAGTGATGTTAGTGGAGTTAACTTTTTCCCCCAGAACTAGGAAGTTCATTCCCTCAGAAACTTCATAAGAGAGAAATAAGCTACTTTATTTTAATTATGTTACCCACAAAATGAATCATCTGACTATGTTGGTGGGGTTACCAACCAAATGCATTGACAAGTATGACCAACATTACTCTTTTGAAGGGAAGAATTGGCTGTTTTCAATTAGCTATTTCCCAACTACTTTGTAAGAATTTAATTCTGTTCTGTTTGTATGGTCTTCTTACATTTGAGGTATTTCATTGACTGTAATCAGTATTTATTGGTGGTCATACATGAATCTTATCACTAGACATCTCTGATCTTGTCTAGGCAGCTATTTCTAATGCAGAGAAGCAGGGAGGTTCCATGGTCCGGTGGACATATTCTGTAAAAGGGCTTTGCTGTTCTCCCTAGCCTTTTCGGTTGATTCCAAGGCTGGGTCATTTACAACTGACTACAGTGACTGCATTTGATTGAGGATTCATTGGTCTAGTTTGCAATTCCAGGCCCATTCTCAGTTAATCAGGAAATCTAGTGATTTACTTAGTCTTGGGAGTGCCACCTGCATTCTTAATCACTGACTTAACTTCCTTTCTTCCCAAGCCACGAGGAAAGCAAATAAATTCAAAACAGGTAAAGACAGGGATCCCATCTCCTCCAAAATGGTACAAAAATTAAGACATTCCATTATATGCTTATAGATATTAAACCGTGACCCAAACTTAGAAATAATTCCTATTCTATAGAAGATAAGTAGTTTCAAGTATGATTATCCCATTGTCTAGATAAAGAAACAATCTCAGAAGTAAAGTGATTTGCCTAGGGTCACAGGGCTAGAGAATGTTTGAGCCTAGACATAAACACAGGCTCCTGACCCTAATAATAGGTTCTTTCCAGCACAACAGACTAACTCTGGTCCCCATGAGCTACTTGCCTATATTTATATTTCTTCCCCAAAGTGCAGCATGCCTGGTGTTGGGGAGAAAGTCCTGAGCTTGGAGTTAGAAGTACAGAATCCAAGCTCTACTGCTTAGTATCTGCATGACATTAGGCAAACGCTTAACCTCTCTGAGCTTGTTGTTCCTCCTTTATAAAAATGCTAACAAGAATCTCCCTATTGTCTATTTTAGAAAAGAAAATATATAATGCAGACATAGACCAGTAGATGTGCTTGCTATCTCTGCAGGAATTCTCCAAGGCAACCTCTGTTAGGGAGAGAAATCTAAGCCTTTGAAAGTGATAGCATCGTTCCCTAGAAATCTAGTGACAGTATTTGAAGCCCCACTCAGTCCTCAGAGAAAACGCAATTTCTGATACAAATTCTAAACACAAATTCTAGTAAGTAATGGGTGGTGTTTTAAAGATTACAAAAGGCACATATACATACATGCATACATATATGTATATGCCATTTAAAACCCACAGTCCATAAGGTAGTTACTACAAATATTACTGTCCCCATTTTACAGATGAGGAAACTGAGGCTAAAAGGTTAAGTGACTTGCCCATGATCCCACAGTTAGTAAATGCCAGGGTTCTTCCTCAGACAAGATTGGCTTTAATTCAAAAAAGACCAAAGGCTTTCCACTTTCTGATGACATGGACATTGGCTGCCTTGAGAGTGAAGTTGTTTTCCCCCTTCATTTCTACCGACCTATTTTCTCAGTATCTTAAAATCAACTAGCTCTTGAACAGGTCAGGTACACCACCGTGAGAAAGTCTGTGGAAGAGAAGCTGGAAAATGCTTCTTAGACCATAAACATTCCTGTGACGTTCATTGCTTGCACAGCGCACTACAAATAGTAAATGCTTAATAAATGCTTGTTGAATGTTGAGTTAATATGAGTTGGGTTAGAACCAATTTCCTAGATAACAAGTAATGATAAATCACATGATGACAATGCTTTTAGATTTTCAAAGCACTTTTCTCCTCCAAGTAAAGTACTACAAGCATTGTTATCCACAAAGGGAGAAAAAAAAAGTTATTTGCCCAAGGCCAGATGGCAGTGAGTGCCCGACCTGGGATTTGAACCAGTATCCCCTGACTCCAAGTCCAGGGTGCTCTCCACTACACATACTGCCTCTCCAGAGAACCTGAAAAGGTTACATTGGGCATTGTGAGCAAAATGACAATAGAATAAAGACCGAAACAAAATGAGGTGGGTGGAGAGAAAGGGAAGATCTGTATCTGCATTTGGGGAACGGAATTGTCTTTTTTCTGATTTGTGAAGCAGCAAAAAGGAAAGAGGGAAGTGAAGTCCACCAAATTCTCAAGAGTCTGTGCATGGATATGTAACTTACTCAGTAATCTTAGGTTCTGTCCTCATGTCTTTGCCATTAACTTGCCATGTGGCATGTCACTTAACTTCTTTGGCCTTACTTACAGCCCCCCATGTGAGGTTAGCCATCTTTGCATTAGGAAGAGGTTGATGAGATGCTCTGGAAAAGGGGAGGTAGAAAGACATGTCAATTCAAGAAAGCTATCTTTCTGTAGTCTGACTTAGACATTGCCCTTTGGGGAATCATATTTTCCTGAGGGGGCAATAAATCCTTGGCATGGCAACCTCTGCAAATCCCCATGTTTCCCAAGAGGTTCAGAAAGGAGTACCATTTTCCTTCAGGTGCCTACTGGTAGTTTTAGGCACCTACGGTGGCATCTAGTTCTCCAGTAGAGAAAACCAGCTGGTTCTGGCAGCAGGTCCTTTGGTGACCATGTGCCACAACTAAATCAAGCACTTTCTATGTGGAGCTTCCACCCCTCTCTGATGTTGGCAGTGTATACTGTCCCCAGACACTGAGTGCCCCTTCCTGCCTATCCCCTTTGGAACACGAGCCCTCATTCTGTGATCTGGGACTGAGTGAAGGTGTTTCTTGTCATCCAATAAGCCCTTACAGCATTGAACAGTATCGAACTTGATTATTCCAAGTCATTACCAAACTGATTTGTGAATATATCCTGTATGGCTCAGGTCCTCATGTTTCTCTGCACCCAACATAGGGATGAATTAAAAGCATAAATATATGGATCTCTGAGAAAAACCAAAGGTCTCTTCCTCAGACCTAGAGTAGCACGAGGGGCAGATTCTCCTCTGCTCTTGTACAATTGAGCTATGAGGAATCTTTTGTGGGGGCTTTGCTTTCATAATCAATCCCCCCCAGACACCCTTTTCATTCTGTATCCAGGGATAATATTAGGGAACGTTTAAAACAGTCAGGGTCAGGACCTTTGGAGAGAGAGAGAGAGAGAGAGAGAGAGAGAGAGAGAGAGAGAGAGAG